ATATAATATAATAGCCCAATAATAATAAGAAGAATCGAAGATTTAAACTTTTATTCCCATCCCAACCATGAACTTGGACCAGGAGCTGGGATGGCTGGCAACAGCGTCAGGAGGAGGAAGACGATGAGGATGATCAGGAGGTTGAGCTCCCGCCCCTGACGCCTGAACAGGCCGGCAGTCGCCCAAAGGCGGCACCGCCTCAGCGTCGGGATGATGAAGAGGACCGACGTCGGCAAGAGGAGCAGCAGCAGCGTCAGCAAGAGGAGGAGGAGCAGCAGCGATGCCAAGAAGCAGCACGGCGTCAGCAAGAGGAGGAGCAGCAGCGACGCCAAGAAGCACCAGGGCGTCAGCAAGGAGGAGGAGGAGGATGAGGAGCAGCAGCGACGCCAAGAAGCACAACGGCGTCAGCAAGAGGAGGAGGAGCAGCAGCGACGCCAAGAAGCACAACGGCGTCAGCAAGAGGAGGAGGAGCAGCAGCGACGCCAAGAAGCACAACGGCGTCTGCAAGCGGAGGAGGAGCAGAAGCGACGCCAGCTGCAAGAGGATGAGGAGCAGCGTCGCAGAGAAGCAAAGCAGCGTCTGCAAGAGGCCGAGGAGCGACGCTTGCAAGGAGAACGGTGGGTGCAGCAGGAGAACGAGCTGTGGCAGCAGCGTCAGCAAGAGGAGGCGCGGCGCAAGGAGGAGCAACAGCAGCAGCAGCAGCAGCGTCAGCAGACGCCAATACCCAAGACTGCCCCAGATGTCATAAAAAACCAGCGTCAGCAGACGGCTGGCAAAGCTCCCCCTCCAGGGTTCACACCACCACCTGCAGCGACCCCTCCTGGCAAGTCGTCAAAGATTCCCAAGCCGCCCGACCATCCGCCCCCGAACAACCCGGCGTCGGCATTCCACCAGACCTATGGGACCATGCCGAAGTCGCAAGGTGCAGGGTCGTCGTCGTCGGGTCAGAGTCATGCGGCTTTGCCTGCAATAAGTCAAGACTTTACTGGAGTATTATTTCTAATAAACAACAGACAAATGAAGGGGCTTTACTTATTTGTCCCTTCTCCTGCCGGTCCTCAGGCGCCGCCAGCGGCTGGTCTCAGGATGGAGCGGATTCTGGAGAAGACTCAGGCGTTCAAGGAAATAGCGAAACTTGGCTGATGGAAGTGGGATGACCACGCAGTAAATAATATCACGTACCCGTTCTCATTAATTAAATCGTTGAACTTGATTACGTGATTCATTCTAATCTTTTCTGTCCAGGCAAGAGATGATTGAAGACCTGAACGTCGGCTCCAGCGTCGCCAGTCAGCTGAGTCGGGTGTCGGACCCTGCGTGTCAGGCGTTGCTGCTGTGCCTCAGCTTCACCGGGTCACTTTGTTTTCAGTTTTGGTGGGATAGTAATCAATTTCCTGTGTGTGTCTGTCTGTGTGTAGTGTGTATTGATCATGGCTTCCTCTCAGCCCATCGTCAGCTGGAGGCTCCAGGGGATGGCTGGAAAGCACCGCACGCGCAACGAGCCCCTCGACGCGTGGCTGCTCATGCAGCTGGGCAGTCTGCGTCTTGACGATTCTGAGCCTCCGTCGGGGTCGCGGCAGCAGGGCCAGGAGTCCCAGCAGTCCCAGCAGTCCCAGCAGTCGTGGCAGCAGGGCCAGGAGTCCCAGCAGTCGCGGCAGCGGCAGGGCGACCGACGTGCGGATCAGCACTGGACAAGACAGGACCCCTGGGAAGAGGACTTTTGGAATGAGTAGTCGTTTCTGTTGTCTGTTGCTAGGTCGGCGTCAGACAGCTTCAGATTAAGATTTGAGCCGTTGCATCCCAGGGGTCAGTGTCGTCACCGGCCGCCTTTAAGTCTAGGTCCCCAGTAAGCAGAGTGTCTTTGAAGCCGCCAGCTCGTCGATTATTTAGAGTCTTAAGTCTAAAGTCGTAAACACTTTAACATACATATATATATATATATATTACATAGAGCCGCTGTTGCTTACACAATGTGCGAGCTATTCTGCAAGACACTCTGTCTGAAGTCGGGGTCTGTTAATTACTTGAACAGACTGAACAGTCAGCCTGTTCCTCGTTCTCGGATCAGAGACGTCTCGCCAGACCTGGACTGCGGAAGCAGCATGCACTTGGCGAAATGTTGCTTGTGTTGCTTCTGTCTGCACTGCTGTCAGCAGACCAGATGCTTGCATTCTCCTTGCCTGCGCAGGTGCTGAGTCAGTCAGTCCGACCCGACTGGTGCCAGCGAACACAAGGCAGCCTGGCGAAGGGCAGCCGTTGCATTTCATGTCACATACTACAGATTCTGCGAACTTGGCATGTCAGTCTGCCTTTCGAGTCGCGCTCGTGTAGCAGAAGCAGTGGGTTGTCGGTCGGTGTCAGCATGACACTTGGTTGTGAATGAATATATCTGCTATGCTTGCCAGGTGCTTGGCCGACTTCAGAAGTGGCAGGAGCTGGGAGACATGTCCATCGGTTGGTGCGTTGCAGATTCGACCTTCAGAGTTTGTGCTGCACTGCATGAGCGGACAGCCGGACAGAATGACTAGATACAGTTTCTGCGGGAGGAGCTTTCTGGTGCACTCGTCTTTGTCTGTGCGATGATGTTTGTCAGCAGTCGCCGCTGCCTTAAAATGCAGTGCATCGTCTACACAACAGTGAAGATTCAGCTGGGTTGGGTGTAATGTCCGTTGCAAGTTGGTGGGTCAAATTTATCCCATCGGTCAGCGTCAGATGCACTGCCGGCTTGAGTAACGCCCCGCGGCTCATTTCAGCTCCGTCGACTAGACCAGAGCCCTAGGTCAGAATCCATTAGTACCTGTTAGTCAGCCATGGGCAAAGAGGCACGGTAGCATCACAGTTTTTTCCTTGAACATGGTTTTCGCTTCGCCAGCAGTCGTACGACCGTTCTGACGATAGATGGGAGTGCCTGCTTGTTTAACTTCTCGCAGGACATTTATCATCTAAAAGATCGACGTAGCAAGGCAAACGACGCGGAGAAGGACCGGGCAGCGCTAAGCAGCGACTTGCAAGAGCATGTTGTGGCCCTGTGACATTTCAATGGATGTATGATCTGGCTGCAACTCAACAGGAGACATCGGCCAGGGCAAAGACAGCGCGTCCTGCGTCAGCCGTCAGCCCACGCAAAGGACAGCCAGTCATTCGATTTAAACGCAAGGCCAACGTCAGGGTCGACGGTCGTCCTGGTTTTCTTAAGGCGCGGTTCCTTAAGTCAATCTGAGAAATAAACTATATTAATTAGTCGTTAAGTAATATCTGTAATTTCTTTTTGCATGGTAATTGCTGATAAGCCCTGACAGGCAGCCAAGGGCAAGTGGAATCTTAACAAGAAATATGTCCGGCGGGTCGAGGACACCATCAAGAGGGCTCAAAGAAGAGGACAAGGGTCCTCGATTCCGGCGTCGAGATTCAGCGGGGTGGCCATCGGGTGCCTGAAGGATGTGTCGCAGGAACGACTGAGCAAGATCGCTCCGGAAGCGATGTCAGCCCTGCAGTCAGCCGCAGAGGCCAGGACTAGCTATTACAATCTTGGGAGTGTCAGAGAAGAATAATTACTATCATTACTTTAGCATCCTGATTGTCCTGTCGTAACGTATGTTGTTGTTGTCCTGTCGTAATGTATGTTGTTGTTGTTGTTGTTGGTGGTGGTGGTGGTGGTGGTGGTGGTGGTTGTTGTTGGTTGTGCTTGGTTGCGGTTGTGGTTGTGGTTGTGGTTGTGGTTGTGGTTGTGGTTGTTGATGTTGTTGCTGTTGTTGTTGTTGGTTGTTGTTGGCTGCGGTTGTGGTTGTGGTTGTGGTTGTGGTTGTGGTTGTGGTGGTTGTGGTTGTGGTTGTGGTTGTGGTTGTGGTTGTGGTTGTGGTGGTTGTGGTTGTGGTTGTGGTTGTGGTTGTGGTTGTGGTTGTGTTGTTGTTGTTGTTGTTGTTGTTGTTGTTGTTGTTGTTGTTGTTGTTGGTTGTTGGTTGTTGGTTGTTGGTGTTGGTGTTGTGTAAGTCCCTGCCCGCAGGCCATGGCTGTGGATATGCTGTCTGCCGTCCAAGGCTTGGCGTCCCCCTGCCCTGCATTGTTCTACAGTTGTAAGTCAGTTATAAACTAATGTGGCATTGGAATAGGATTTTCGTATGTTTCTGTATCGTTCCTTAACCTGTGTTCCTGCTGTCTGTCTGAACTCACAGGCTTGGCTAATCACCGCAAGAAGATCACGCCGACTGAAGATGACTTCGCGGCACTCAGCATCGCTGCGGAGTTTTTGAATCCTACTCTGCAGCAGGTCATGGTCCAGCGTCTCGACAACAAGAGGCGGCTGACCCTAGCAAATCCCAAAGACCCACAGCGCTTTCACAAGAAACTGAAGCTGTGAATAGTCAGTGTCGGAACAATCGCCTGCAGAGCAGCCGGGACCAGTTTCATTTTGTCAGTCTTGTCAGCGTCGGTCAGTGAGACTGCCAGCTCAGCTACCCAGCTGTGTTTTAGCATCATGATGTCGTGCCCAGGCCGCATGGGACCAGTGCGAAACCAGAAGTAAAAAAGGCTTCAGAACGTTTGGTTGCCAAGGAATGTGCCAGGACAAGTCTGAGTCTGACAGTCTGATGGGCCTGCGAGGCTAGCTCGCGGCAGTCCGTTCCGTACCGATGAATGGGCCAGGGGAGGCATGAAAAAGTGAACCTGTCTGGCTGTGGTTTGGCAGTTTGATTGACACGTGCCATCGTCTAAAATTTGTTTGGCCGGCCGAGGTTCAGGGGATGCCAATCTGCTGCGGGATTCTCAAACAGGCCAGATGTGTTTCGCGTGCTGTAGTTAGTTCTGCCTACTGCCTGCAGTCAGACAGACAGGCAGACAGTCAGACATGACATGTGGCATTGCCGATTGCCAAATGCTTCTGTGTCTGCGTCTTTGTCGTTCAAGCTTGGTCAGTGTCACCTGACGTCAGCAAACGTCAGCCACCCGCGACCTGCCTTCCTAAGTCGACAGTCATGGCTGCTGAGTCAGACGCCGGTCGATCCATGGAGCTCTTTGCCATGGGGTTGCGCTCCGATGGCTACACACCGGAGATCTACGAGGTGGAGTTCTACGAGACTTTGGAGACAGCCGTCGCGATGGGAAAGAGGACAGCCAGCCGTCAGTCACTTCGTTACAGATTGCGTGCAATGCACGAGTTAACTAATGATATTGTAAGTTTTTCGCCTGCTGTCATACTAGTATTTAATTTCACAAATATATAGTTCAAGGTTGGGCTACCGGCTGTCGGATGGCGCGCCCCCGAAGGGCCTGCCCACACGGCGGTCTGGGCTGGATGCGGCCAAGACTTTGATTAAGAGTGGCGAGATCAAGATAATCAGCGTCTGTGTCCAGCACTACCAGTCCGCTCTCGAGTCGGGCCTGCTCAAGAAGAACAGCGTCGGCCCCGGCTACCCAGTGTCACACACGTTTCAGCGTCATCCGGGCAAGCCGCTGAATCTGATGTCGACGCAGGGCAAGCACGCAGAGATCCACTTGTCTGACATGAAAGTGGCGGTGTCAGTGATGCAGGCCCCGGCGTCGCCACCGTCGGAGTCGATGGAGGACACAGGCGCGCACCAAGCATTTTATTTAAGAGTAGCTTCAACATCCTTACAGATTACAGAGATATAATGTATATTGGTAAACTTGAGCCGTTCCATTGGGTTTTGTTTTCTGCTACATACTGAAATGCTGTGTCTGTTTAGGGATGAGCTTATTTAGTTGTTACACTTTTTGTTTCAAGTTTTATTTCAGTCGTTCGTCGCGAACATGCAGGTGCAGAAGTTGTGGCTGTGTCAGGGTCACCCCATCGCCTGGTCTTCTACGGCTACAGCGTCAACGACTCCAGCCGGCGCATCAACGACGCCCTCTTCAAGAACATGACGAAGAGCATCCCCGGACTCACGGACTGCGCGTCGGAGCACATGGTGCTCTTCTCTGACATTGCGTCGGCGCCCCTGCTGTCGTTCTGCGTCTCCGGTGGCGACAACAGGGAGTGGCTTGCCCCATGTGATGGGATTCTGTAATAACTCCGTGCCTTTACTTAGGTGATTAGTCACAGTCGTTTTGAGCCATGTGGATGTGACCCTGGACCCTGATTTTGCATGACATTCCGGAGGATGGTGCTGGACAAGTATGTCGCGGAGGAGCTGCCAGCCCGCTTCAAGCACATACCAGCGTCAGCGTCGCCAATCTCCGGCTTCTGGGCTGTGAAGGTCGGCTCCGACAACCTGACGTCGGCAGGAGTCCAGCTGTCGGGCAGATTGTCGACGATGGTCAGGGTCGACGTCATCACCAAGCAGAGTCGCCAGACCACAAATGACATCGCCAGGGAGAGGCAGATGGAGCAGGCCAGCGGCGATGAATAGAGTAAGCAAGTCTTGCATTTATTAAACCTTGATTGCAAACCGCGCTGATTGCTCACCCCGATCTCCTTGCTTGCAGAGGCCATCCATGGCCTGGATGGCCGCATCGAGGTCCTCAAGGAGGAGCTCGGATCCTGTGAGTCGGAGAAGCGGTCGCTCCAGCGTCTGATGGCGGAGTCGAAACGGCGTCGGCTGTCGAAGGAGGCCAGTAAACCTAAATCCTAGACTCAGACCCCTTAAATTTCCTAAACCCCTAAACCTTAAAGAGGTCGTGCGAGCTTCAAGTTCGGCCGTTTCACAAGACGATATCCATGTAATGTTTGATTTGGGTTTTGCACCTGAAGATAAGAACACCTTAAGAAAACCAGGAGAAGAAGAACCAGGCGTCGGAGAAGAAGGAAGATGGAGGTGCTGAGACGCCGTCGCAGTCTGCCGAGCCAGTGCGCGATTCCAATGATGATGGTGTGCGCGATTCCAATGATGATGGCGCATCCTCAACCATGGGTACTGACACCATGTGTGACGGGCCAACCCAGGCCCAGACCCCATGAGCTGATGTCAGTCAGCGTCGAATCGGCAGAAGACATGTCGTCTTTAATCGATTCCGCTGTTCAGTGTCAGTCAGCGTCATCTATCTGCAGCAGCCCATGTCGGAAGTTTGCTGTAAGTATTTTTCAACAACTGAGTCAGGCATGCCCCGATCTCTGGAGTCAGAATCGTAGGAACAGCCGGGGTCGTCGATCGTTTGGTTGTTGCTGTATTGTACTGCACAACAACGCATAATAGCTACTATGAACCCTTAAAGCCTGAAGCTGTGCAAAGTATGCCTGACTCAAAATCTCCTAAAGCTTGTTTGCAAGAAACTTGGCAGATTGTACAGACCTGCCCTGACAAATGAAAATCGTGAATGCCCGTGTTTGCCCCTACGCATCATCATGTCTGCTGAAGCACTGCATGCCACAGAGCACATTTTACATGTATACAGTGCTGCCGCCTGCCTTGGGCTCCAACTTGAGTCAGCGCGTGGGCTTCAGCCACAGCTGTCACCTGCGCCACTGGGCCGTCTCCGAGAAGCCGTGCCTTGGTCTTCAAATACTGACACAGCTGCTGAAATTCATGGTTGTTTGTCAGTGCCATTTGTCTGTGTCTGTGTGTGTCTGTCAGTGCCGGTATCAGTGTCAGTGTCAGTCAGCCAGACACAGGGCAGAAGAGACTGACAGAGAGGGCGACTTGGAAGGGTTAGTAAATACATTAAGCGGGTTTGCAACGGGATTTGCACCCGAATTCAACATTCTGTTCTAATCGTTTGAGGCTCAAAACCAGTCAAAAGGAACTTGTTCTTCTATAGAAAAGTTCCTTTTGGCTGGTTTTAGTATTTTTAAAGCTTGCTGGCTGCCTGGTTTTTGGGTTCCTGGCTGGCTTGCCTCAATTCAAACCACTCACAACCCTCCCAAACACTGCACTTGCGTTCAGAACTTACAATTCTTGGGTTTGCATATACTACAGCTGGAAGCAAAAGAGAAGCAGTACAGCAGCAAAGGGTCGAATATTTTCCTCTAGGTTTTTAAGGCTCAAAACCAGTCAAAAGGAACTTTTCCTTCGATAGAAAAGTTCCTTTTGGCTGGTTTTCGGAGTTTTAAGGGTCCTCCGTAAATATTCCCCGGGTCCTCTGTAAATATTCCAAAACCAGTCAAAAGGAACTTTTCCTTCGAAGGAAAAGTTCCTTTTGACTGGTTTTGGGATTTTTAAAGCTTGCTGGCTGGGTTTTGGGGTTCCTGGCTGGCTGGCTGCTTCAATTCAAGCCACTCACAACCCTCCCAAACAGGGCACTTGCGTTCGGAAGTTTCACACAGGGGTTGGTTTGCATTCCATTCGTGAATTGATATCAGTAAATAATATTGCAGCTGGAGCTAAAAGACAGTACAGCAGCAAAGGGTCGAATATTTTCCTCTAGGCTTTTTAAGGCTCAAAACCAGTCAAAAGGAACTTTTCCTTCGATAGAAAAGTTCCTTTTGGCTGGTTTTCGGAGTTTTAAGGGTCCTCCGTAAATATTCCATGGGTCCTCCGTAAATATTCCAAAACCAGTCACAAGGAACTTTTCCTTCGAAGGAAAAGTTCCTTTTGACTGGTTTTGGGATTTTTAAAGCTTGCTGGCTGGGTTTTGGGGTTCCTGGCTGGCTGGCTGCTTCAATTCAAACCACTCACAACCCTCCCAAACACGGTTGCTTCAGAACTTACACAGGGCTTGGTTTGCATATATTACAGCTGGAAGCAAAAGAGAAGCAGTACAGCAAACGGCCGAATATTTTCCTCTAGGCTTTTTAAGGCTCAAAAACAGTCAAAAGGAACTTTTCCTTCGAAGGAAAAGTTCCTTTTGACTGGTTTTGTGATTTTTAAAGCTTGCTGGCTGGGTTTTGGGGTTCCTGGCTGGCTGCTTCAATTCGGAAGTTTCACACAGGGGTTGGTTTGCATTCCATTCGTGAATTGATATCAGTAAATAATATTGCAGCTGGAGCTAAAAGACAGTACAGCAGCAAAGGGTCGAATATTTTCCTCTAGGCTTTTTAAGGCTCAAAACCAGTCAAAAGGAACTTTTCCTTCGATGGAAAAGTTCCTTTTGACTGGTTTTGGGATTTTTAAAGCTTGCTGGCTGGGTTTTGGGGTTCCTGGCTGGCTTGCCTCAATTCAAACTACTCAGAACTTACACAGGGCTTGGTTTGCATATATTACAGCTGGAAGCAAAAGAGAAGCAGTCCAGCAAACGGCCGAATATTTTCCTCTAGGCTTTTTAAGGCTCAAAAACAGTCAAAAGGAACTTTTCCTTCGAAGGAAAAGTTCCTTTTGACTGGTTTTGGGATTTTTAAAGCTTGCTGGCTGGGTTTTGGGGTTCCTGGCTGGCTGCTTCAATTCGGAAGTTTCACACAGGGGTTGGTTTGCATTCCATTCGTGAATTGATATCAGTAAATAATATTGCAGCTGGAGCTAAAAGACAGTACAGCAGCAAAGGGTCGAATATTTTCCTCTAGGCTTTTTAAGGCTCAAAACCAGTCAAAAGGAACTTTTCCTTCGATGGAAAAGTTCCTTTTGCTTGGTTTTGGGATTTTTAAAGCTTGCTGGCTGGGTTTTGGGGTTCCTGGCTGGCTGCTTCAATTCAAGCCACTCACAACCCTCCCAAACACGGCACTTGCGTTCGGAAGTTTCACACAAGGGTTGGATTGGTACAAGTAAATATTACAGCTGGAAGCAAAAGAGAAGCAGTACAGCAGCAAAGGGTCGAATATTTTCCTCTAGGTTTTTAAGGCTCAAAACCAGTCAAAAGGAACTTTTCCTTCGATAGAAAAGTTCCTTTTGGCTGGTTTTCGGAGTTTTAAGGGTCCTCCGTAAATATTCCATGGGTTGTCTGTAAATATTCCAAAACCAGTCAAAAGGAACTTTTCCTTCGAAGGAAAAGTTCCTTTTGACTGGTTTTGGGATTTTTAAAGCTTGCTGGCTGGGTTTTGGGGTTCCTGGCTGGCTGCTTCAATTCAAGCCACTCACAACCCTCCCTAACACGGCACTTGCGTTCGGAAGTTTCACACTAGGGTTGGTTTGCATTCGAAGCAGTACAGCAGCAAATCGTCGAATATTTTCCTCTAGTGCTTTTAAGGCTCAAAACCAGTCAAAAGGAACTTTTCCTTCGATAGAAAAGTTCCTTTTGGCTGGTTTTCGGAGTTTTAAGGGTCCTCCGTAAATATTCCATGGGTTGTCTGTAAATATTCCAAAACCAGTCAAAAGGAACTTTTCCTTCGAAGGAAAAGTTCCTTTTGATTGGTTTTGGGATTTTTAAAGCTTGCTGGCTGGGTTTTGGGGTTCCTGGCTGGCTGCTTCAATTCAAGCCACTCACAACCCTCCCAAACAGGGCACTTGCGTTCGGAAGTTTCACACAAGGGTTGGTTTGCATTACATTCGTGAATTGATACAAGTAAATACTAGAGCTGGAAGCAATACAGCAGCAAATGGTCGAATATTTTCCTCTAGTGCTTTTAAGGCTCAAAACCAGTCAAAAGGAACTTTTCCTTCGATAGAAAAGTTCCTTTTGGCTGGTTTTCGGAGTTTTAAGGGTCCTCCGTAAATATTCCATGGGTCCTCTGTAAATATTCCAAAACCAATCAAAAGGAACTTTTCCTTCGAAGGAAAAGTTCCTTTTGACTGGTTTTGGGATTTTTTAAGCTTGCTGGCTGGTTTTGGGGATCCTGGCTGTGGCTGCTTCAATTCAACTCACTCACAACCCTCTCTCAAGCACGGCACAAGTTCACACATTTGAAGCAAGTGCTTATCAGAGCCGAAGTCAAAGGGAAAACGAATATTTTTTCTAGGCTATCTAATAATCAACTCAAGGCTCAAAACATAACCAAGCTTCCTGGGCTGGGTTCAGTATAGGCTTCTTGGCCTTGAATTCTTATCACTCAAGATCCTTCCACTTTTCCAAGCACTGCAGTCATTTCAGAAGTTCAATCATTGTGCACACGTGAACCGAGTTGAAGTGACACTTGCTTATTCTGAATTGCGAAAGGAAATTGCCCTCAAGAGCAAAGCTTTCCGAATTATTGCAATGTTGTCTAATACCCTGTATATTGACATAGTTTGTCTTTGCGGGGGTGTTTAGTAGCTTGAGAACAACGCATTTTTTCATCAGGTGTGGAATGGATTTGTCAATAATTGCTTCCAGCTTGTTCCAATCTTCGTGTGACGCAATGACTTGACTTGAGTTATTCTTCGGATTGCTTCTGTCATGATCTTGACTTGCCCAGGGTTGTGAACTAACCAGCCGTCCCAGCTAAGATGGTTACACTATTACACTACAACAGACACAGCACAGACAATATAAAGGTGCAAGCCACGATTCGGGTCGGCTGGTCAGCGGGCTCGGGGGTTCGGAACCCCCGGAGTGGGCCGTCTCAGCTGAGACGGCCCAACAGCAAGCCGCGATTCGGGTCGGCTGGTCGGCGGGCTCGGGGGTTCGGAACCCCCGGAGTGGGCCGTCTCAGCTGAGACGGCACACTCCGGGGGTTCGGACAGGAATGTTGCCCGTGTCACTTTTGAGCTGACTCAGGGGGTTGTGTTTTCGTAACCCCCGGAACAATCCGTCTCAGCTGAGACGGCTTGTTCCGGGGGTTACGAAAACGCAACCCCCTAAGTTCGGAAAAACCATCCCAAGAGCTGTATGAAAGCTGGGGCGATTTTTCCGAAGTCAGGGGGTTGCGTTTTCGTAACCCCCGGAACAAGCCGTCTCAGCTGAGACGGCTTGTTCCGGGGGTTACGAAAACACAACCCCCTGAGTCAGCTCAAAAGTGACACGGGCAACATTCCTGTCCGAACCCCAGACGGCCCACTCCGGGGGTTCCGAACCCCCCGAGCCCGCCGACCAGCCGACCCGAATCGCGGCTTGCTGTTGGGCCGTCTCAGCTGAGACGGCCCACTCCGGGGGTTCCGAACCCCCGAGCCCGCCGACCAGCCGACCCGAATCGCGGCTTGCTGTGTGTTAAACACCATTCATCTCAGCTGGGTCGGC